TGCTGCTGCTGCTGCTGCTGCTGCTGCTGCTGCTGCTGCTGCTGCTGCTGCTGCTGCTGCTGCTGCTGCTGCTGCTGCTGCTGCTGCTGCTGCTGCTGTTGCTGCTGCTGCTGCAGCTGCTGCTGCTGCTGCTGCGGCTGCTGCTGCTGCTGCTGCTGCTGCCACTGCTGCTGCTGCTACTGCTGCTAGATCTGCTACTGCTGCTGTCAGATCCACTGCTGCTGCGGAAAGTGCTGCTGCTGCTACATCTGTTGCTGCTGCTAATTCTGCTGCTGCTCGATTTGCTGCTGGTACTGGATCTGCCGCTGCTGGAACTGCTGCTGCTGTTGCTGCCACTGCTGTTGCTGATGCTGAGCGTGCTCTCTAGACTGCTCTAGGCTTCTCTGGAGCTGCTGCAGGCGCCTAGCGCTGCAGCAGCTGTCTCTGTCTGCTGCCAGCTCGGCAGCTAATTTTTCTTTCGCAGCACCTGTTACTTTCGCTGTACCCACAAGCAGCCCCCGGCAGGCGCCGCTTGGCTGCTGCTGCTGCTGCTGCGCTGCTGCAGGCTACCGCGTGGCTCACATTCCTTACTACGAGGTTTTGCCGCTGCGGGGGGCGAGGGAGCTGCGGGATCTTGTGAGGTGAGCCTGAGTTGTCTCTTTTGCTGCTCCCTTTCTGTCTCCAGCAGCAGCTGCTGCTGCTGCTTGTAGTGCTGCTGCTGCTGCTGCTGCAGCTGCTGCTCCCAGTGCCCCGGCTGCCGGCAGCAGCGCGCAGCGCAGCAGCACCTCTTAGCCTGCTGCAGCAAAAAGGGTTTGAGGGGCAGCAACCGGAGCAGCTGCTGCAGCAAAGGAGACTCTTGTTTGCCTCTAGAGTTTCTTTTTAAAGTTTCTTTTTTCTTTTTATCTTTTTTATTTTTGTGTCTTCCTGCAGCCGCGCAGTGGCGCATGCGCTGCAGCCAGCAGCAAGCCCCGGACTGGGGGCTGGGGTGTACGTACACCCCAGAGGCGAAGACCCCTTTGCTGCAGACCCTGCAGCAGGAGCAGCAATGAGCCAGCTGCTGGCAGCAGAGGGGCCCCCAGCAAGTAGCAGCAAGGACCCAGGGCTGCTTCTCGAGGGCGAAGAAACGGAAGAAGAGGCACTGCAGCAGCAGCAGCAGCAGCAGCAGGAGCTGCCGGAGGCGCTCAAGCAGCAGCTCAGGCAGGCCCGGAGAGCAGATCCTCAAAAGGCCCTTCTCGTTTCAGTCCGACGCTGGAAGAGACAAAAAAGACAAAAAATGAAGCAAAAAATGCAAAAAGTGGGGGCCCCTGGGGGCCTCCCAAAGGCCAGCCCGTACCCCCCTTAGGGGCCCCCCAGGGCGGGGGCCCCAAGAAGGCGGGGCAGCAGCTGCTGCGCACAGAAAGGCACCTGCTGCTGCAGCTGCTGCAACCTGCTGCAGCTGCTGCTGCTGCAGCTGGTGCCTGCTGCTGGTGCAGCTGCTGCAGCTGCTGCAGTTCGCCGCTACAGCAGCTGCAGCAGACTGGAGCTGCTGCTGCTTGGCGCAGCAGCAGCGCATTGTTTTATGCGGTGTATGTACACCTGCGCCTTGTCTTTTGGGAATTCTTTGGGCTTTTTTTCATCACTTTTCCCCTTAAAGACACTTTTTCTCTTTTACTCATTTGCATGCACATCAGGCAAAAGCTGTATATTGGTAACTTGTTCCTTAGATCTACTAAATATATTCATTTATACATATATATATGTATATATATATATGTATGGGATACATTTACTTGTATCTCGTAAATATATATACATATAGATACATGCGCTATATTTACTTATATCTCGTAAATATATGTTTCTACAATATATATATATATATCTACAGTATATATATATGTATATATATATACATATACATATATATATGTATATATTGCATGTAATACATGTTACCCGTTATTTGGAGTAGATATGCACATATTAGTTATTAAAATATTTATATATTATACACATATATGTATGTCAGTATGTAGATGCATGCAATATAATACACATTTCTACGCGTATATATATATATATATACTACATGTATACATATATACATATATATATACATATTTGTATATATAATTATATGTATCTTTTAATAAATGCTTGTACTATGTAACACATATATTTATACAACTACGCAAGTCTCGCTACACATATGGAATATATATAATATAATCAGTATTTATATAACTGCACAATTACTACTATAATTTAAAGGCAATTTGACTTCGCTTTTTCGCACTTTTAAAGCCGGCTTGTTGCCTATTCTTCATTCTTTCCTTTTCTCTTCTTCTCTTTTTTCATTTATTCGCCTGTTTCTTTGGTGTTTCTTTTCCCCTTTTTATTTGGATTTTATCTCTTTTGCTCTTCTTTATTCTTCCGATTTACTTTTTCCGTTTATTTTCTCTTCTTTATGTCTTTTCCACTTTGCTTCTCTGGGGCTGCTTTGGCAGCAGAGCTGTCTTTTGTCTTTTTGCTGTTTGCCTCCTCTTCACCAGATTTATAAATATACCTTAAGACGACTTAAAAATATATATTAAATTACAATTATATATCCCAAACAAAGACTTTATTCAAGTCATTTGCTGCAGTGCTGCAGCTCTTGCTGCTGCTCTGTGTGGCCTTCAGCCTGTGTATGTACACCCCAAAAGCAGCTCCTCTAAGCAGGCGCTGCTGCAGCAGCAGCAGAAACAGCAGCGGCAGCAGCAGCAGCAGGCAGTTCTGCTGAAGTCAGTTGCTGCTGTCCTTCCCCAGCCGCCTTACAAGGCGAAGGCTGGCCGCAGGCTAGACAAGGGCTGCTTGAGAGATGCAGCTAACTCCAGCTAGCTAGCTGTTGCTAGCTGCGGCTAGCCGCAGCTAGCTGTGGAAAACTGTAGCTAGCTGTAGCTAGCTAGCTGCAGCAGGCTAGCTGTAGCTAGCCAGTTCCGCTAGACCGCTGGCTACGCTTGGATCAGTGCGTGGCTAGCTACAGCTAGCCAGGTGTGGGGCTAGCAGCAACTCAACCTCTGGCTACCTGCAACGGGTCTAGCTAACTGCAGCAGCAGCTAGCTAGCTGCCGCTGCAGCTAGCTCGCTGCTGCTGCTAGCTGCCGCCGCAGCTAGCTCGCTGCTGCTGCTAGCTGCCGCCGCAGCTGCGCCAGTGGCTGCCCGTAGGGAGCCTCACGGCTAGCTGCAGCAGCAGCAAATGCACCCTCAGCTAGCAGCAGCTGGCAGCTAGCCCGAAGCAAGGAACCTGCTGCGCTGCTGCGCTGCAGTGCTGCTGCGCTGCTGTGCTGCTGTGCTGCTGCACATGCAGCACCATTTGCTGCTATTTGCTGCTGCCTGTTGAAAGCCCCGAAGTAGACACCGCATACATGCATGCAGGGTCTTTGCGTTTTCCATGTGTCTGCGCAGACACCTGAAAAGGTGCTGCTGCTCTCCCTCTGCCTTTTCTCCGGCGGAGTTTAAAGACGCAAATAAAAGCAAAGACACTAAATGAAACTGGTGGCGGGAGTGAAGATAAATAGCGAATATTCCACTTTAATTACGTTAATTAACTAATTTATGGGCTTTGGGGAACAACTGCAGCAGCAGCACAGTAGCAGCAAAAGCTGCAGAGCGCAAGAGCTGCGGCCAGAAGCAAATGCGCGCGCAACGCTCACTTCGCCGCTGCTGCCGCCGCTGCTGCTGCTGCTGCTGCTGCAGCGGCCGCGGCAGACCGCCAGTGTACTTGCCTTGGCTCCGCGGAACAATATGAAGTTGCATATATTCCATTAACTTATTTTTGAAATTAAAATCTAAAGAAGGTGTGCTGGAGCGCTTGGGGGAGAAGTACTGAGCGGCGCGGCAGTCTGCGTGTGCTGCTGCTGCTGCTGCCGCCGCCGCCGCTGCTGCTGCTGCACTGCGTTCACAAGCGCGCGTCTGCTGGGGCTGCTGCTGCCTGGAGGCGCCCTATCCCGACTGCTGCTTAACACTTTCTTTTTGCAAAAGTCTTTTCGAATTATATTTGCAATTCCATCTTAATTTTAGCGGTGCTTTGCTTGCGGTGCTGCGCCCTCGAGGCAGCGTGACGCTCCCAGAAAGCAGGCTGCTGCTGTAGCTGCTGCTGCTGCTGCAGGGGCGGAGCGGAGAGCAGCAGCGTCTTTCCGTTCGATTTTTCTGTTTTTTGCTTCGCTTTGTAGCTGCAAAGCAGAGCAGCAGCAGCAAGGGCTGGTCTAATTTAATTATGTGTCCTAAGTTGGGTCTGCTGCCTCTGGCCTCGCTGCTGCTGCTGCTGCTGCCGCTGCTGCGCCTCCCCCGCGCCTTTTTCTCCACGCCGCGTCTCCTTCTCTAGTTTAATTCCTTTTATTTCCGCCTGTCTCCAGAAGCTCCCG